GTTATATACTGAAAGTTTTTCTGTTACCATCAGTAAAATACAGTAAAATCACTTCTGTCATGGCTGAAAATTTAAATCCTTAGTCAGCTTTTTGTCTTTAATGTAACATGCCCACATCTGACAGATGTGAAAACTAATCTGTTACTAATCTGTGATATCTAATCCCAGTTTGGCTCTGATTTAGAGGCAGTGTGGAAACATATTAAGTGTTTCACACTGAGTTACTTGATTTCACATTCCAACTCACACAGTTAACTGGGTGACTGTTGATGAACCTGGTAATATTAGAACTGCTCATGTATGGTCAATTTGACTGTAGTACAATATCCACAAACCATCACAAAAAAATAACCTGAAAAAGACATTCTCAAAACAAATAGATCCGGTATAGTCCCACCCCTTTCTCCTAAAAAACATGGAGAACCCAACAAACAAAAAATCCACACATTTGTGCTTATACTGGGGGGCTTACCTCCTTGTCTGGACTCCCGCCACAACTAAATAACAATAACAAAAAAAGGGGTTCCCTTACTTTAAAGTATTATTACTCTTACTGTTTATGCTCCTTGCAGCACTGATAAATAAATCAATAACCAAGAACTGGACAGACCCCCTGTGAAACTCTCGTACATWGAACAAAAAGAGGAATGTCGTCCCTCAGAATAATGTCTAAAATTAAATCAAGGTATAACGCGGGACATAAAGTTAGAAGGTTCATTACAACCTGACAGTCACAATGGGTCGATGAAGATTGGACCTGCGGTCAACGCCGGTCCTCGTTGTCCATCGCCGAGGTGATCCTCTTTTTAACGTAGTCCATTGCTTTATTGGCATCCAGGAACTCCTTGTTTTCCTCCCCAAGAGAGATGCGAAGCCGTGCAGGAAAAAGCAGGCCATAGCGAACATCTCGTCGGTTGCGAAGAAGCCTCCTCACCTCCGTAAACGCCGCTCGAGCCTTGGCCACAGCTGCCATGTAGTCAGATGGGATGATGATCTGTGCCTCCTTAAAACGAAGAGGACCACAACTCTGAGCCCGACGCAGTATTTCCACACATTCTTGATAATAGTGCAGCTTAGCAACAATAACCAGCAGCTTATCGCCTGACCTGTTTCCACCTAGAGAGCGATGGGCTCAGTACACCAGTGGCTCTTTATCCATCTGTAGAACCTCTACTAGCAGTTTAGCCACTGCTGAAGTGGAGCTGGATTCTGGCATTTCAGGAACTCCAATAATCCGCAAATTGCACCTTCTCAGGCGCCCTTCCATATCGTCACACTTCCTTTTGAGCCCGTCGACTTCTTCTTTCAGTTCCAACATGGTGGTGCGCAGAGAAACCACCTCATCGGACCAGGTTGACAAACCATCCTCCACCTCCTTAACGCTCTGTTTAACATGGTCCAGATCTGCGCGCAGTAGCATCGTGCCGTTAGCCACTTCAGCTCTCACCGCTTGTAGCTCCCCTTTAATAAGAGTAAACTCTTCAGCCAAAGCCGCTTTTATTTCAGATTTGATCACAGCTGAGAGATCGGTTTTTAAAGCGGCAAGAATGTCAGACTTCAAGGAGAGTGCGTCCACCTCGCTGCGGGAGGGAGAGGAGGACGTCGAAGGTCCGGCTTTAGCTGCAGCCTGCTCCGGGACGGCGTCGGGCCTAACAGCTGTCAAGCTAGAATGTTTGCCTTTCCTCGAGTTTGTCACCATTCTTCTACTCTTCCAGGCAAGAATCACTCAGGGGTCGAGTCTGGACGGACCAAATGTTTAAAACAGCAAGGACATTTGGTATAGAACCACAAACAGAACAAGTCGGAGCGGGAGCCACGCGACACACGTCTCACTCCTCCGCCATCTTGCCTTTTTTGTAAATTGGGTCTACTCTAATCCGAATTTCTCAGCTGCGTAAGTCACAGCGCCATGCTGGAGGCTGTCCAAATCCAGACTCCTCCGATACGGCCAACAAATATTACGTTTAAGCTAATTTTGTTGTTTTGTGATAACAGTACATACTGACATGTTACTAATTTTGATTGATTTTTGCTTCTGATTAACGTCGTCACATTTGCCAGGCAACAGGACATACGCAAGGGTAAGGGCAGGAATAAAGCAGTAGGCTAGACCGTTCAAATGCACACCTACTTTTTTCTGGTCTTCGTGGTCTACCAAGGACCCGTCCCACCTATACTGGGTAGGCTGGGTCCTTCGAAGGACGTAGCCCCTGAATTTGGACACAGTCAAAGTCGTGTGGCACAGGCTGAGTGACATTTGTCTCAACTGTTAGCGTTAGCTTCCATTAATGTTTTTGTCTGTTAGCTAATTAGCGTTAGCAGAGATAAGATTCGTTTAGCAGAATAGTGGTTAGTGAACCTAACTTTTTGGTTAGCTGTGCCCACCACTGCTCACAACTATCATCGCATTAAGGTAAATAGGCCTTCTTATGTAGCTTAGAGTACATAGATAAATATATTAAAAAAAACATCCACACAGAATTAGAATTCACCTTAGTGCAACAAAAAAGTGGAATTTTAAATTCAGTGCAAAATTTGCTACTTTTCAAACAAACTGAATGAAGTAGAAAGGAGATAAAATCTCACTTAATTTTCAGGACCTAATAAGGAGAAGAAAAATAATAACAAGACGACAAAATAATTTAAAATTGCCTTTTAAAAACAAATAGCCACAAATCTAGTAATGACCTTAGTGAGAAAAATCTAATTTGCTTCAAATGAACAGAAACAAGAAATCTTAGTGATAAATAAATTATTAATACAAATTATGAATACATTTCTAAGTAAAGTTCCTCACTGGGTGTTTGGAGTGTTGAACGAAAAACGTCAGACAAGTTCAGCTGACAATCGACCTCCATTATAGCAGTAATGAGGCAGAAAATGATGTTTTCAAACATTCTTTTTCTGGTAATACAACTTACTTAAAACTGTTATTTCATGGTTCAGTGAGGTGACCCTTTAAGCCTATTATATGTCTCAGAGAAACTCTACAGTTTTTATTAATTGGCTGATGCATCGGAACTCGTGATTAACAGAAAAAATGACATTGGACATTGGGGTCTCCAAAATCAATAACTTTCTACCTCCACACAGCTATCATGCAAATGCATCTGTTATTGGTTCTGTTTAATCTGCTGCATTACTATCCTGACAAGAGTCCTATTTTATGAATTTACCCTGGATTGGTTCAGGCCACAAGTGCAACTTTTCTTGCACTTTTTAAGATATTTCGGTGATTTAAGTTTTCTAGAATTTTCTGTATTTAACTTTAAGCTGCACAGCTTTTCTACATTTTATGTACAGTAGTTTTAAGACAGCGCAGCTTTTGCCATATGTCTGTAATTCAGTTTAAGCTGCACACGTTTTCTAAAATACATGGTAAATCATTTTGTCCATGTTGATTGCAGGCAGCACCACTCTTTATATATATATTTACAAAAGACAGTGAGAAATTTAATAATAGTTTAATAATAATTTAATAATAAATTTAATTTAATTTAATTTAATAGTTTTTAAGTAAGTAAATACATGCTAGAAAATATTAGGATGGTTTTTGGGTTTGACTTTCTGGTCAGATCTCAACCTTCATATCATACTACGTGCAGACATGAGGAGTGAAAGCTTCACTATACTACCTTTGACTTTTTTTTCTAGTACAGAGTGTCCACAAAGATAAATGCAAAAACAGTTCATTCTCTGAATGTACCCTAATCGTTTACACCTTGGAATATTTTCATCTTTGCAAGCATTGTGTTGAGAATGGCTTTTACCATGTGTTAATAATTCATTTAATAATGCTATGTAGAGAGCATGTGTTTAAGCTAGGTTGAGCTAAGCTAATCCTTTAATTGTAGAGTGTGTATGTGAAATTGATGTGTATTAATTAGGTGTTTTTTTCTATTCTGTATATTTCAGTTGCAAAAAGGTTATAAGAAACCTTCAGTAAATGCAAGAAGGCAAGCATTTTGTCAACTTTTTATTTTTGTTCCCTGGGTGTTTAGCTTCACTCAGTCACGTGTTGTGAGGACAGCAGCACACATCTTGATGATTGAAGAAAGCTGTATGCACGTGCGGTGGTTTTAACTGTAATTTTGCATACAGTAAGGTGTGCTGAATCAGTTTTTGATAGAAATTGTCAGGTATGAGGACGTGCTGACCTATGGAGATGGTCCAGACAGCAGCGATCTTCATCATGGCTTTGGTTCTGGAGTTGAAGCGGCTGTGCTCGATGGGATTGCGAATGGCGACGTATCGATCCAGGGAGATGGCGCACAGGTGCATGATGGAGGCCGTGGAGAACAACACATCCAGGTAGATCCAGATCGGGCACAGGGCACTGGGTAGAGGCCAGGCATAGTCTAGAAAAAAAAAAAAAACAGCTAGCTATTGTTATGCATTATTGACATTTTACTTTAAAGGGGCTATATAATGTAAAATCAACTTTTTTGAGTTTTATATCATGTTATAATGTTATACTCTCATTAAAAACATGCCCAAAGCCTTGCTCTGACTCATTCATGCATGTTTGAGAAATCCTGCAGCGTTTTTAGGCAGCCATGCTGAGGAGCAAAAGGTGGGGACCAGAAACGCCTTTTGGGACCAGAAATGTCCCTGGGACGTGTCTTTAAGCCAAACTTCCTCATCACGGAGCACCCACCCCACTCCCCACTCCCCACACACCCCGCCCATGACTCCTGCAGGCTCTCGGGTGAAAGTGAAATTGAAACTTAACTGTCTGCTGAGCTCTCAACATTAGCTCTCACTCAGTGAAGCTATTTTCAGATTAAAAATACCTRTGAGGAAATGTATTTTCAGATGCCAAGTAAACTGCATCATAGCAGCCCCCTCCCCGCACCGAAATGGACGAGATAGAAGCGGAAGGTGGTTCTTAAAGAGACAGAGGCCAATTTCAAGGCATTTAGAAGAGAAAGTGATGAGAGGATAAGTTTATTTTCTATTTAAACATAAAAAAAGCATCTTAATAACAACTAAAGGTGACATATGCCCCTTTTGCACTAGTGCTACTTAGTGTAGTGTCAGAATGGTCGGTGCAGGTATGGGTCGGACAGGTTGGTTTTCCGCTGATGTTCCAGTCCGGTTCCAATGGGTGTGTTTTGGGTAGTTGGTGGAGGTGGTTTTTAGGTATTTTGAATAAAAATTAATGGGCAAAATGAGAGATGGAAACACATTTGATGAATAACTTTTGAAATTTTAAACAGTTGCAAAAATTTAGCCAATCAGTGACGAACAGTGTTCTTGACGTCGCATTTTGGTGCCAGCTGAGGCCGGTTGGAACCACAATGAAGTAGGTACTAAAAAAAGTGCCGGTTCCATGGATCTGGCCTAATGGAAATGGCTTGGAACCGTACTGAACCGTACTGACACTACACTAAGTGGCACTAGTGGAAAAGGGGCAATGGATACTTTATTATGGCATAGTACTTATTTATATGCCGGAGACACACATAATATTGCCCCTTTAAGCTGATTTGTGGCTATTTTTGCTAAGAACTCAGTGGAGTGGATCTTGCTGACTTTGAAAGCAGCGATCTCATTACAATAAATCTGATCTAAGGCTCTCACTGAGTGGATGTCATCAAGGTTAGCAGATTGTTAGGGCTTAAGATGCTGCATGGAGGGGCTGATGAAGCTTTAATTAATTAGAGTACATCAAAACACAAGGAATGGCACACTTAATCTGCATTAAATGTACAAGTTGTAACAAGAAACCAGACAGCATTGATGTTTTATTATTTGACTTATATGATAAGGGTCAACCACAACAACATGGATAAGTTTAAAGTTGAGGCTTAGGTACAGATAATTAGATTCCAGGATTAATGTAAAATTATCATTTAGATTAATGTTTTATAAAAGGCCTATTTTATCTGTGTGCAGTCGAATCACTGTGCATGCTTTTTAGCAGTGTCGGTTTTAGTGCGTAAACAGCAATGTCTTGCATTGTTTAAACAAAATCACCAAATGAACAAAGAAAATAATTTTATTTTGTTTAATTTGAATTTCAGCACAAGCTGCTCTTTWTCATTAACAAAGTAAGAGAGAATGTACATGTAAAAAAGATTCTGGACAGTTTTATAACTATTGTACAACTCATAAACATTAATAAGGCTAGACCAAAGAGTATATAAACTGTAGATAGACTTCAGACTGGAACCCAGGAGTTGAAGCTAGCATGAGACCATTGGCTTCTTCCAGTACCACACACATAGCAAACAGGTGTGGCTCAGGTCTGACAAAAATGGCACAGTTTTTAAGAAGGCATGCCACAAATGATGCAGTTGTGGTTTGGAACTATGTATACACATTAATCTGACCAATCATGATTTACCAAACTACACCAACATATCAAAGTCAACCAATTATGGTTTACCCAAACCACAACCACATGTAAATCAGACCAGTCATGCCCAAAAATCCATTTGACCCAATCATGGTTCATACAAACTATGCCCACATGCCAAATTCAACCTTTACAGTTTACACAAACTACTTCCACTTGTCAATCCAACCAATCGTAGTATACTCAAACTATGCCCACACATCGATCCAACCAATCATGGTTTACCCAAACTATTCCCAATTGTGAATCTGACTAATATCATGGTATACCCAAACTACACCAATACGTTGATCTGACCAATCATGGTTCACCCAAACTACACCCACATGTTGATTTGGCCAATAAGGGTTTGCCCAAACTACACCCACACATCAAATTCAACCAATTGTAGCCTACCCAAACCCACACATCAATCCGACCAATCATGGTTTACCCAAACCATGCCCATTTGTCAGTCCAACCAATCATGGTTTACCCAAACTATACCCACACATAGGAAACTGTAACTGCAGAGACCCCTATTTGCATAACTGGGCCACTAAAGGGCAATCATTCTTTGTGGTATCTGGGCTGAGTTTAAGTGCCTTGTGCTGGCCAGAACTGGGCCAGGCAAACTTTGCTATGTGAGAAGTTTTAGGTTCCTTCCATGTTAACAAAAATTTGGGAATAATGGGAATAATGGGAAATAGCATGGAGATTTGCAAATCTCATAAACCGGGGCTATTCAACTGACCCGCCATTTGGTTTATTCATCTCTTAAGCCCAAACCCCTCGGTTTTCTACTTTAATTACTCTAAGTTCTTTTAGTTAAACATAGACATGTTTGGTATCTACAGAAACGTCAGAATCTTGGCTAGAAGCTGGTAAAAACATTTCTATAAACACTCAAGACAGTTAAAATTACAAGCAGTTGAAGATAAAATGATGAAAGTGAAAATAAAATTGATTTAAAAATTTGGCAAGTCAGAGATGTCAAAATAGTAATTGTGTCTAATAGGAGGCATAATGTGTTCTTTTTGTTTTTAATAATATGTAATTATCACTACTTTTATAGGGTTCTGTATGTTGTATTCATGATTAAATGCAGTAAAATAAACTATTTCAAATGTAACAGATCTTTGTAATACTTGGTTTATTTACATAATGACTTTAATTGCTGGATGTTCGGCCCCTCAGCTGACCGGCAGTAACTGTGGCCCCCAGAGCAATTTAGTCAAATAGCCCTGTCATAAACTCATATTTTGTTCAAATGTAAACAGTATTAAACACACTAAATACTTAATCAAAGAAACTTTAGGCAAAAAAATCAAGGTAATTTGAATTTGATTGCAGCAACACTTCTTAGAAAAGTTGAGACTGGAGCAACCAAAAGCTGTTAATAAAAATAGTACGAAATAGCTGGAGGAACATTTTGCAACATGTTGGGTTAAATGGCAAAGGGGCTGGGTATAAAAACATTTAAAAGGGCTGAATCTCTCAGAAAGTAAATATTGGCAGAGGTTCAGAATCTGCTAAAAAACTATCTAGAAATGGTGTAACTATGTAATTCAGAATAATGTTAATATAAAATTGAAAAGACTGAATATCCCATAATCTATAGTTCATAATGTCACAAAATTATTCTTTGCTCAGACAAATCCAAAATCTAAAATTGTTTTTGGAAATCATAAATGCCATGTGGTACAATTCTTTGTTCCATCACTTGATATTTTTACTGTGTTCCATTGTAAATAAAATATGGGTTTAGGAGATTTGCAAAGTCGTACATTCTGTTTTATTTACATTTTACACAACCCCTCAACTTTTTAAAAATTGAGGTTTTAAAAACAAACAGACTTAAATATGATTTCATATTTCTTCTTCCTTTTCACAGAGAGATACGAGGCCAGAGCTGGTTCCACTGTGATCCACCCTGAAGTGCAGTGGTTAGTTTCTGTTTCAGGTCACTGCTCTGCAGGGTGAACCGTTTAGGTCAAAAGTAATACAATTTTTCTTCATTGCACCTCGGCTCTAGACTAATGAACCATCTGGGGAAACAAAACTGTTAAAGAACAGTAGCCATTGAAAACACAGGAGGAAGCATTCCGGCTGAGAGAAAATTAAATTGACTTTTGCTTAGACTGGAGAAAATTAATTAAAAATAATTAGCTTGGCAGTCTTATTGGTAGTCAAATCCTGACATTTTTATATACCTGTGGGAAAGCTGAAAAGCATGGCACTGTTAAAGGAAATGCGAATTGAAGGGTCAAAAGTCAGCTCCAATTAGCCATATCTGAATACTCTGCTCCAAGCATAAATGTTCCATTAAATTCTCCTCATAGTCACTGTCACAGCATGAGTCAAGTGATTCACATTTGTCTCTTTTTTCATTACTCTGGCTCATGTATTAACTGTCACTATTCCCTTTTAACAATGTCTGAAATTAATATCAGTATCTCCAAATTACATGTGGCTGAACTATATTAACATTCAGAACCATGACTTAAAAACGGACTTCTAAGACATTATTCTGAATTACAACCAGTACTATTAATCTTGAAAGCTCTCCTGTGCAAAATGAAAGGAATAGTTCAGATCATTTGAAGTAAGTTTCTGTGAAAATGTTACAAAGAATAAAAGACTAAGACTAAGGAATTGCAACTGAGTCTCCAAAATGTCTCAAAATGCTTGTAGGTGTTGCTTATTTCTGTGCAGGGTCTTGTTCAAAACAAGGCAAAACTAATTTTCCTCTTAAAATAGGCAGAGTGGTTGGCTGCATCTGGAAACCAACTCTTACCCTTAGTTTCTGTATTCTAGGCTAGGGGTTCAAAAACTTTTCCATGCCATGAAACAGCATTAGCTTCTGGCTGCGTACCCCTCTTGCAAACCCACACACAATGCTACAAAATATGTATGTCTGGCCCAGTTCTGGTCCACACAATGCACTAACTTTCAGCCCAGATATCACAAAGGATGATGGCCCTTTGGCAGACCAGATGTCATGTACCAGAGGTGGTC